ACTTCCTTTGTTGCTATTGTTTTAGTATTTGCTAAATATTTGTCCTCTTTTTCATTTTGATGTGAAGGTTTATCATTTTTCTTTAAGGTTACCCTGTGATTTATAATTTTCTTCCCAAGTTTAGAACAGTCCATTCTATCTTGTAGTTGTCTTGACTTCTCTACCATTTAGAAGTTCTATAACTACATAATATTTTCCCTTTTTGGTTTGTAGTTGTCCTCATTTGTCAATTGATGTCTCTGTTTCCCTGTTTACAATCTTGTAGGCTTATTTACTTTGGATACTCCTATAACTGGGTTGGTTTCTGGGTTATGTCATCATGTGTGTTGCTGTTGTTGGTTCTCTGTCCAAAGGACTCCCTTTAGCATCTCTTGTAAGGGTGGTCTGGTTTTAACAAATTCCGTTCATTTCTGCTTATCTGGAAATCTCTTAATTTCACCATCATATTTGAGAGACACTTTTGCTGGGTACATAATTAATGGTTGGAAATTTTTCTCTTTCAGGGCTTTATATATACCATCCCATTGTCTTCTCGCCTGCATGGTTTCTGTGGAGAATTCAGAGCTTAGTTTAATTGGTTGCCCCTTGTAGGTAACTTTTCATTTTTCTTGTATTGCTTTCAGGATTCTTTCTTTGTCTTTGGTTTTGGTGAGTTTGATGATGATATGTCTTGGTAATTTTCTTTTGGGGTCTATCCTATTTGGGGTTCATTGGACTTCTTGAATGGATATATTCTCATCTTTCATCATAACAGGAAAATTCTCTTCCAACAAATGTTCGACCATTTTTTCTGTGGTTTTATTTGTCTCTTCCTGTTTTAGAATTCCAATTACATGTAGGTTATTCCTTTGATGGTATCCCACATGAACCTTAGGCTTTCTTCATTTCTTATTTCTGATTGATCTCTTTCCAAAGAAGTATTGAGGTATTTGCCTTCAATCTAATTCTGTGTTCCATGATTCATTTCTACTCCTTTGTCTGTTCAATGTGTTAGCTATTTCTGAAAATTTAGCATTAATCTTCTGGATTTCTGTGTGTAGATTTTGTATCATTTATAATTTTTCATTTATTTTGTCATTTTGTTCTTGTATTGTCTTTTGAAATTGTTCTGGGGTCTTCTTTGTGTTTTCCTCAATTTTGTCAGTGTTTTCCTTGATCTGTCTTGCAATTCACTGAAAGTACCTAAATATAATTCTTTTGAATTCCTTATCAGAGAATGCTGCGTCTTCCTTAGAGATGTGTTTTGGGTCTGTATCCTGCTTTCTTGTTTCTCCAGCTTTATCTTGCTTCTTTGTGTGGACTGTGATGCTCTGCTTTCTCTGAGGCATTGTGACATTTTTGATGATTGTTATGTTGGAATGACTTGTCCACGATTTTTGTTTTCTTTGAATGTTATCTACTAGATACTAGATACTACTATCTACTAGATATTATGTATCTACTACAGCAGGGTACTGGGCTGTGCTCCTCTATTTGCTAGTTGGCAGCACTTATACCATCACCACCTGTCTCCTTTTCTGTTGTCAGCCTCCAATATGGCCCTGCTGTCCTTGGCAAACAGAGCCTATTCTTAGGTCCTTGGAATGAATGAGAATGCTGTAACTTTAAAATCCAAAATGGCCACCTCTTATAAATATTCAAAATGGCTGTGCCCTTGGTCACTTTAAATATCCAAAATAGCTACCACTTGTGAACATTCAAAATGGCTGTGCCCTCAATCACTTTAAATATCCAAAATGGCCACAGCTTGTAAACAATCAAAATGGCTGTACCCTGCAGACAGCCAAAATTCCACAGCTCATGTTGTCTTCCTCCTTGCTGTTTCTCTTCCTAGTCATAGGCCACCAGCACAGTTGTCCCTGCAGCCCTTGGTGACCAGGACTGATCTTTAGGTCACTTCTTAGATCCCAACACCACTTGGAAATATTCAGGCTGTTGGTCCCATCAGAGTAGCTGACAGTCCACTGCTCTGACCATCTCTGTACTCACCATTTTCATTCAGGTTTTTCCATTAGTTGGTGCCTGATCCAGTTCTGTATAGTTCCTTTCAAAGCTCAGGGCTCCAGGATTATCTTCTGTATCTTTGTCAATTGGTTTCTCTTTTCTTTGTTGAAGAGGGTCTGTGTAGCTTGTCTCCCTATCCCTCCATCTTACCAGAAGTCCCCTACAGCTGTAAATCTTTAGGGAAGTAGATTGTCTCATCTTCTTCCCATGGAGAAGTTGGGTTGGGTTTGAACCTCTGACCTTCTGGTTAACAGCCAAATGCCTAACCCACTACACCAACAGAGCTCCTCTTTAACAAGTGAAAGGCATACTTAAAGTTTACTAGAAGTTATTTGAAATGTACATCTACATTAATTTTCTATGAATAGTGTTCTGGTTTACCCCTGCGTGGGGCACACAGTTAAAGTGCTTGGCTGCTAACCAGAAAGTTGGAAAATTCAGGTCCACCCAGAGGTACTTGGCAAAAAGGTGTGGCCACCAGCTACTTCTGAAAAGTCAGTCATTGACAACCCTATGGAGCACAGGTCTACTCTGACACACATTGGGCTGCCACAGATCAGATTTGATGTGACAACTGGTTACTGAGTTTGTAACATTTGTTGTTGTTGTTATGTGCCATCGAGTTGGACCCGACTCCTTGGGTTTCTGAGGCAGTATCACTACAGAAGTAGATTGCCCCACCTTCCTTCTGAGGAGTGGCTGGTGGGTTTGAACCGCCAGCCTTCTGGTTAGCAGTCAAGTGCCTTAGGCACACGTTACCAGAGCTGTGCATGGCCTGAGCCATAGCCATTCCTTGCTCTCCCAAAGATCCTCATCAAATCTGTGCCCTTCTCTGCATCTGGTTAAGACCCCATGCTCTCTCTCTTAGTCTTGGAAGAGTCTCATTTCTCTGGGCTCCCATAATCCAGTTCACCCTCTATGTGCTCCTGGGAGTATCATCCAGTTTTTGGTGACTTCCCCTTCCTTGACTTTATGATAAAACCCACACTCCAGCCCCATTCCTGCTCCCTTTTATTTTTTGCCTGCACAAACCCTACTCACTGCTTCCCATGAAAAGCTCTTCCCAGACCATGCCTTAGCAGAATTTATCTTTCTTGCCTCTGCATTCCCTTCGTACTTAGTTCTTACACTGGTGAAGCACTTAACATGTTACATGTTAAAGTTGTTGCTGTGTCTGTCTTACCAACCTCTTTTAGGTCAGGGATTGGCAACAGCAGAGGCCTGACGAATGGAAGCTGGGTAAATAATCCTCATTAAGTTAAATGCTATTTCTTCAGCTACCAATTCAAGAATTACCTGATGACAACTTATTCAACTTGAGGGCTGGTAAGGAGGAAAGAGACTCATAGTAGATATGTGAAATCTGAGAACGACAAAAATCCTACCCTCCACACACATATTTGATGGAAATTTATTCTGGGAGAAAAATAGATAAATGAAATCTGGAAGCTGTCCGTTACATATTATGACCTTGACATAATAAATACTGTGTATAATTTTGTATGTTCATAAAAGTTACCGTGGTTAGTATTTTAAATTCAGAACATTTTAAGGCAATTAAAAATGCATGAAATATGTACATGAAGGATAATTAAATGATTACTTTTAAACTATTCATTGAAGTATTATGCAAATAAAAATGCACAAATCATAAGGGTACAACTTGATTAATTTTCACGAAGGGAATACAGCCATGCAACCAGTATCCAGACCAATAAACATAACATTTCCAGACACCCAGAAGCCCCCATCCCAGTCACTGTTTCTCACAATGGTAACTGCTATCCTGACTTTTAACAGCACCAATCTGTTTTGCCTATATAAATGGAATGATACAATATATAATGCTTTCTGTTTGTCTTCCTTCACTCAATTTCATAAAACTCAAATTTATTGTATGAAATTTAACCATATTGCTGTGTATAGCAGTAATTCATTCTAAATCTATAAACTTGAATAGTTTTAGATTGGATTACAAATGGAAGTTATAAGCTGCTGAATTGTAAGGAATCTAACATCTTGTCATTTTCATCAAGAGTTTCTTGAAGTAAAACTATCAATATTGTGGTAAAATCAAATGCTGTGTTCTAGATCTTACATGGTATGACATCACGCCAGTAACTTTCTCAGTAAAAATTTCTAGACTGAAGGAATAAATGAAGCCAAATCACAAAGCACTCTTTCAGAAATAAAAAAGAGCCCGAAGGGAGAAAGACCCCCAAAGATCACCGAAAACAACTTTTACCATATGATTATTTTAAAAAGTAAGTTTAATTTTCTAAAGTCTAGTAACAACTTCTGCATCTTTGGTATTTGCACACACATTTAAAAACTATGGGTTAAGAGCACCACAAAAATCAAAATAAATAAATAAATAAAATTTAAATTTAAAAATAAACCATAATAAATAAATTTATTTAAAAAAAAAACAAACCATGGTTTAAGAGAAACTTTGTCTACTATTTCATGTCTGAACCATAAACTAAGGAGGTCCGGTTGTGTAGGGTTTACACATTCAGCTGATAACCAAAAGGTTGACGGTTTGAACCCACTAACTGCTCCCTCAGTGGGTGAAAGATGAGGCAGTTTGCTTCCATAACTGGAAACTCTATGAAGCACTTCTACTCTGTACTATAGGGTCACTATGAGTCGGAATTGATTCGATGGCAATGGGTTTGGTTTAGGTTTTAACCATAAACTGAAGGCTTGCTTAAGTGGGTGAACAGAAATAGGGAAAGTTTTGTATTGTAGAATTTTTCCAAATTGCTTCTACCATATTGTAGAAGCAGTATGGTAGAAGCAGTTTGGAAAAATTTCAGATTGAATTGTAAAACAAGTAAGAAGGATAATCTGTGTTCCACAACCTTTGAAACAATATTCTAGCAATGAGCAAGCTGTCCTTCCATATTGTTTTATTTAGTCTACATTCATCATACAATGCTGCTCTCCAGCTACACACGTAGTTCAGATTTTTCCATTCTCCTATGAGCACATACCTTGAGGATTAAAGAATCCAGTCATCCAAAACACATTCGGCCTCCCTTCAAAAATCCAAGTAGAAAACTGAGCATTTCTTTCCAAAAGTTCAGTAAACCAGAAGCCCAGTGTGGACGAATCCCAGGACACTCTTTTCCAGATTTGAGGTATACGGGCATCATACATGTTGTCCAAAGCATCTCTCAAGTTCTGAAAAAAATAAGTTAAAATATGTGATTAAGAATAATCAACTAAAGAGGGAAACAGCTATTGATAGAATAACAGCTCACCTCACTCATAATGATTGTCCCTTCAATGGCCAATTTTAGATCACTCAGGCTACTGCGAAGTATTGTAATCACTTTTTGCATTCTGTCGATTTCTTGTCTAAGAAATATGTTCATTGAATTAAGATGTCCCATCTTTATCAAACGAGCTTTCACCTGAAACAAAGCATTACAAGGTAAGATGAGATTTTTACCATCTGTCATTTCTCTTCCAATGACCTCTCCTTTCTCTCTTTTCTTCCTCTGAATATATCTCATTTTTGCTTCTACCAGCCCAAATGAACTCTAAAATATGTCTTGCAGAACAAAACTTGCCATTAAATCCTCTGTTTTCTGGGCTTCAAAAACTACTGTTCAACTAAAATGATTTTTATTTCCTACTGATTATACTCAGTTGGTAATTGGAAATGTACTTTAAGAAGTCGAAATAAAATCATACCTTTTTTCTTTTCAAATGATTAAGTACTCAGTCTCAGCTAAATATTCTTTTTCAATCTAACCTTTATAAGAATACAGCTTGTAATATTTTAAAAAAAAAATCCTTACAGAGTCATTATTAGAAATGTCACAGAAAGTTAATACAGCCAAAATCTTTACAGAGCAGTTAACAATGAATGAATATGATTAGCCAAAGTTTCCTGAGATCATTGCTGCCTTGGACAGGGTAACTAAAGGGAGCCTTTTCTAATCTAATCAATGAAAATATTTGACTTTGTAGGAGAGTCATTAGGCTTCTGTCATTTATTTCATTTGATATATCATTAATTGACCATTTTGAAAAGATCAATATAAAAGTCTCTAGTTATAGGAACAATAAAATATAACAATTATTGGAAAATGAGTCAATATATATACAAATTTCAATTTAGTGGCATATGCCCAAGAAGAGATTGACTACAATTACTGGCAGGAACTCATAAAGAGATTTGAACCTTCTGTGGGCCATGATTGAAGAAATATCAGAATAAGAGGGGTAAGAATAGACACATGGAAGGGGAGGGATATAAATCAGTCCAAAGAACTACCACAAAGCCAGATGCCCATGGCCTCTCCTTGAGTTAGGGAGTGTTAGAAATTGAGGGGCCTCATAGTCATCTGGACCACTCTCTCTATTTTACCTAACAGGTCTTCTGGCATGGGGAGGTTTCCTATCAACAATGGACACTTCTGCTCTACTGTAGCTGAGCCATTTCTATGGTTGAGTGATAAGGGAGACAAGGGGAAACACAAACTCAAAGGGAAGTAGTGATGTAAAAACTAAACTGTATGCCTGGGACTACTTGTGCCAGTACAGAAAAACCATAACCAAACTCACTGCCATCAAGTCGATTCCAACCCCCCTTTGGAAGCGGACTGGCCCATATTTCTTCTGTGGAGCGGCTGGTAGGTTAGAACCTACCACCTTTTGGTTTGCAGCCAAATGCCTTAACCACTACAACCACAAGTGTTCCTTGCAGGTAGAGCAAGTAATATTAAAATCACAATCAACATGCAGTGGAATTTCCTAACCCAGTCCACCACACCTTAAGGTATTCTCTTATATTCCTAGTTTCAGAACTTATATTTTTGGAGTCTTCAGTGCCTCATTCTTACCTCTATCCCAAGCCCTCTTTCAACCTCCAGTGGCTGAATAGCATACATATCACCCCCTTTAACTCATGACCATTCTGTGGAAATTCACACTTAAAGGAAAAGGAAATTATAGAAATAGTCTTGCAATTCTAACAAATGGGAAACTAGGCCCAAGTATTGAACATAATGTCGAATCAATAACCTAGACAACTTTATATTTTTTTTATTGTGGTAAAAAGAAAAAAAAAATACATAACAATACTCAAAAGAATTGAAAACAAGAATGGAAACAGAGACAGGTACACCAATGTTTACTGCAGCATTATTCACAATAACCAAAAGGTGGAAACAACCTAAATGTCCATCAACAGATGAATGGAGAAATAAAATGTGACACATACATACAATGGGCTATTAATCAGCCATAAGGAGAAATGAAGTCCTGATATGAGCTACAACATGAATGGATCTTGAAAACATTATGTTGAGTGAATTAAGTCAATCACAAAAGGACAAATCCCACTTATGTGAAGTATCTAGAACAGGTAAATGTACAGAGATCAAAGATCATTAATGGCTGGCAGGGGTAGGAGGGAAGAGGAAGGGGAAGTCATTGTGTAGGGTACACTGAATTTCTGTTAAATGTGATGGAAAAATTCAGAGACAGATAGTAGTGATGACTGCACAACATAATGAATGTAATTAATGTCATGTAATTAATGTCACTGAATTGTACATGTAAAAAATGTGGAAATGGCAAATGTTTTGTTATATATATTTTTTAGCACAATAAAATGTATATATACATTTATTATAGTAAATTTATACATCATAAAATATTTGCCATATATATGTGTGTGTATCAAAACATTTCCATTTCAATTTAATATGCTAACAACCCCAATTAGCCTTGTACTGATTAGGGTTTTAAAAGAGAAATTTTACTTGAAAGATACGTTTAGAAAAACTTGTTATTGTCGTTAGGTGCTACTGAGTTGACCCATGTGACACAGTAGAACTGCCCTATAGGATTTTCTTTTTTTGTAAATTTTTTTTTTTCATTTTCATTGTGATTTGATGAAAGTTTACAGAGCAAATTCATTTTCCATACAACAGTCCATACACATTTTGTTTCATGACATTGATTGCAGGCCCCACAATGTAACAGCTCTCTTCCTATATATCGTCACTCTAGTTACTTTTTCCTTGTGTCCTTCCTTCCTATGCATTTCTGCCTCCTGAGCCATATCCCTGTGCAAATACTGCCCTTCTGTTCTCCCATGATTGATCATTCTAAGGAGTGTATCTCTCTGGTGTAAATGTTCACCTTATATGCTTGTCTATTGTTTGTCTAGAAAGCACAGGAGTAAGTTCAATTCCAGCCCTGAAAGTTCACTAGGGGCCATGGTGTTGGGGGTTTCACCAGGCTCTATCAGACCAATAAGCCTGGTCTTTTTTTTAATTTATTTACAATTTTGTATTTTGTTCCACATTGTTCTCCCATGCAATCCAGGATCTCTTGCACTGATCCCTTTCTGAGTGGTTGACAGTGGTATCCAGGCACCATCTAGTTTTTCTGATCTCAGGGTCAGATAGGCTGAGGTTGGCATGGTCCACTAGTCCCTTGGACTACTCGTTTCCATGTGTCTTTGGTTTTCTTCATTCTTCTTTGCTCAGGACAAGGAGAGACCAATTGTTGCCCCTAGATGGCCACTTGCCTATAGGATTTTCTAGGCTATAATTCTTTATGAGAATAGATTGCCAGCTCTTTCTCCAGTAGAGCTGCTGGGTGAGTTTGAACTGCCAACCTTTCAGTTAGCAGCCGATTACTAAATTTTTGTCCTACCAAGCCTCCTTAGGAAAAACTTAAAACAAAAAAACAAAACTCACTACCATCGAGTCAAACCCGACTCACAGCGACCCTTTCTTGTGTTTCTGAGGCAGCATCACTATGAAAGTAGATTGCCCAACCTTCTTTCTGAGGCGTAGATGGTGGGCTTGAACCACCAACCTTCAGGTTAGCAGTCAAGTGCCTTAGGCACTATGCTACCAGAGGAAAAACTTAAGCCCTAGAAAATAATTTTCATGCTCATATTATTTAAAGTGTGATTATTGTTCTGGCTTAAACTATCTTTTTATTAATAAAATTTAAGATTTTATACAGGATTTTCTTATATAGCCTTTTATAGAATTTTTATGATGTTTCTGGCACTAGATAGTCTCTTCTATAATTATGTATGTCCATTTTTACTATAGAAGTCAATAGTATATTTCAATTTACAAACTTCACTTTAAAACCACATTTTCAAGAATATACACCTTCTATAAAATAAAGGTATTAGAAGGTATGTGATCTTCAAACTGGAAGCAGCTTTAGTATAATCTTCCTCCTACATAGGAATTAATTTATTCACATCTGTGACACTCAGTCTCTGCCTGGATGTTGCCAGAACAGTGATTTTAGTGGTGAATTGACCAGATAATCAAAATGTCTTAAAACTTTCCTCCTGGTAATATCAACCCTGTGATCTAGTTCTGCCCTCTGAAATCATATCAAGTACATTTTATCTCATTTTCACACGCCAGTTTTTAAAACCTTTGAAGGCAGGTGTTATGGATTGTGTGCCCCCAAAAAACATGTGTTGCAAACCTTAACCCCTATACTTGTGGTTAAGGAGCTCTGGTGGTTCAGTGGGTAAGGCATTTGGCTGCTAACCAAAAGGTTGGTGGTTCAAATCCACCAGCTGCTTTGTGGGAGGAAGATGAAGCAATCTACTTCCATAAAGATTTACAGCCTTGGCAACCCAATGGAGGTCACTATGAGTTGGGATTGACTTGATGGTAGTGGGTTTGGTTTTGGTTTTGGTTATACTTTTTATTAGAGGAGGCTTGATGGTGCAGTGGTTAAGTGCTTGGCTGCTAACCCAAAGGCTGGTGGTTCAAACCCACCAGCTGCTCTGTGAGAGAAAGATGAGGCAATCTGCTTTCATAAAGATTTACAGCCTTGGAAACCCTATGGGGCAGTTCTACTCTATCCTATAGTGTCACTGTTGTTGTTGTTATGTGTCATCAAGTCAGACCCGACTCATAGTGACCCCTCCTTGGGTTGCCAAGGCAGTATCACTACGGAAGTAGATTGCCCAACCTTCCTTCTGAGGAGTGGCTGGTGGGTTTGAACCGCCAGCCTTCTGGTTAGCAGTCAAGTGCCTTAGGCACTATGCTACCAGAGCTCCCATTGGGTCACTATGAGCAGGAATCAACTCAATGGCAGTAGGTTTTTTGGGGTTTTTTTATACCTGTCATTATAAACCCATTTGGGAATGGGTGTTCTTTGTTATCTTAATGAGGCAGTATTAGTGTGTGTGTGTGTGGGGTGGTTGTTGAGTCTATCTCTTTTGAGATATAAAAGATTAAGCCAGCACAGGTGAGGGAAGACAGATGCCATGCTACATGAACATCACCAAGCAGACAAAGAACAGAAGACAAATTGAGACAAAGACCTTCCTCCCAGAGCTGGTAGAGAAAGAAAGTCTTCCCCTAGAGCCGGCACCCTGAATTCGAACTTCTAGCTTCTTAAATAGGGA